TCTGAAGTTCTTTGTAGGTTGTTCAATAAAATCTGAGATTATTTCATGTTTTACTAATTTTCATTTCCAGGTAAAATGGTTCTTTTGGATAAGTTACTTCCTAAATTGAAAGAGCGTGATTCTAGGGTCCTTATATTTTCACAGGTCAGTTCTGTCAGGATATGATTCTTGTCACTGTTGATTGTGAATGCCATATATTTTGCAAGCCTTTGTTATTTGATCTCATTTATTTCTGCCTTTTGAATTTTCTTTTGTGCTTAATTGTTGGCTTTTCCCCCCAGATGACTAGGCTGCTCGACATACTTGAAGATTATTTAATGTTTTGTGGATATCAATATTGTCGCATAGATGGCAATACAGGTGGGGATGATCGTGATGCTTCTATTGATGCTTTCAACAAACCAGGAAGTGAGAAATTTGTCTTCTTGTTATCAACTCGTGCTGGAGGTCTTGGCATTAATCTGGCTACTGCAGATGTTGTCATTCTGTATGATAGTGACTGGTCGGTATTTTAAACGGTTGTGGATGCAGCCATCTGATTTGTATGTGTGCCATAATTATTATTGTTGATGGTTGGTGGTTTTACAACAGGAATCCACAAGTTGACTTGCAGGCACAAGATCGTGCTCATAGGATAGGTCAAAAGAAAGAAGTTCAAGTTTTCCGTTTTTGCACTGAGGTTTGCAATTTATACTTTATTTTACTTTTACTCTTCAGTTAATTTTCACTATATGTGATAGTATCTCATTGCAACATGGTAATGCTACAGTATACAATTGAGGAGAAAGTCATTGAAAGGGCTTATAAAAAGCTTGCACTTGATGCTCTCGTGATTCAGCAAGGGCGATTGGCTGAGCAGAAGAGTAAGAATTTTTCAGGATGATTTTCTTCTTCTTTTTTGCTGCAAGATGCATGGACTGTCTAATATGGTTCCATTGGTTTATATGCGCAGCGGTAAATAAAGATGAGTTGCTTCAAATGGTTAGATTTGGGGCTGAAATGGTTTTCAGTTCCAAGGATAGTACAATTACAGATGAGGATATTGATAGAATTATTGCTAAAGGAGAGGAGGCAACTGCTGAGCTTGATGCCAAGATGAAGAAATTTACTGAAGATGCAATCAAATTCAAGATGGATGACAGTATGTAACCTATGATTATATGTTCTAGCTTTGAAAACAATAATGGCTTGATCTTTACAAGTTTTATGCTTTGTCACTTATCTTCTGTTTATTAGATAGGAGTTACTGATACTGATTTTCTTTTTGTAGCTGCTGAGTTATATGATTTTGATGATGAGAAGGTAAAGATGACATTTTATTGTGTCGTTGGCTTTTTTATTTCTTTGCATCAGCCTTCCTTCGGCTGTCCCCCTTCTTATCTATTAACTAATATTAATATTTCATTTTTAAATAAAGGATGAGAACAAATTTGATTTCAAAAAAATTGTGAGTGAAAACTGGATTGAACCACCAAAAAGGGAGCGGAAGCGCAAGTAAGCATTACTCTTTACATTTTATACATCCAGACTTATTCTGTACTTTTTTAATGACTTGATATGCGGGTTTTCTTTTCTTTTCCCTTTTTTTTTGGGGGGTGGTGGTGGTTCTTAATTATAGTTACTCAGAGTCTGAATACTTCAAGCAAACAATGCGCCAAGGTGGTCCTACTAAACCAAAAGAGCCCCGTATTCCTAGGATGCCCCAGTTGTAAGTTTCTACACTTGATTTTTCTCTTTTAACAGTGCTTCTGTCATGACTGATAGTTTTTTGTTCTTCTGCATCCAGGCATGATTTTCAGTTTTTCAACACACAAAGGCTGAGCGAGCTGTATGAAAAGGAAGTGCGCTATCTCATGGTAAGTGTAGGTATAGGTAAAATGAATTTGCTTATTTACGTTTTTAAGGTTTAGGTCAACAAATAGGTATCGTTTGGTGCTCATTATTTTATACAATTTCAGCAAACACATCAGAAGAATCAGATAAAGGATTCAATAGATGTTGATGAACCAGAAGGTACACAAGTACTCTCCAGACTACTCTTTTGATTTCTTCACCTTTCTACATGTATATTGATTATTGTAATTATGATGTATTGGATGTTTAGAGGAGGGAGATCCATTGACTGCCGAAGAGTTGGAAGAAAAGGAACGCCTGCTAGAAGAGGTGAACAACTTTTTTTTTCCTCTATTTTTTGCAAACTAGCTTTTCATATGGACCTTTTTTTTAACTATTGTTATTTGGTTAATATAGGGATTTTCATCATGGAGCCGGAGGGATTTTAATACTTTCATTAGGGCCTGTGAAAAATATGGCCGAAATGATATAAAAGGTATTGCTTCTGAGATGGAAGGAAAAACAGAGGAGGAAGTTGAAAGATATGCAAAGGTCTTCAAAGAAAGATACAAGGAATTAAATGGTATGTTATAGCCAATGTGACTATGAAACAATCTTTTGTAGTACGTTTGAGCATGTAAACAAAATACTTAGCCAAACCTAAATGAGTGTTTATCTGTAAGTTTGCGGTAATCTTTTTCAATAAAATCAATTTACTTGTTTCATACAGCCAACTACTTGAATGGTTGATATTTTGATATGGGCTTATTTGGTGTTTGTTGAGTTAAAATGAAGCACTTTTTTGTATTGATTATTTTTAATATGCACGTCTGTTGAGTTATTAACTGTAGCTTGAAATGAGTTAATGTTAAGGTTCTACCTAATTTGTTTATTTTGAATCATTATCTGCAGATTATGATAGAATTATTAAAAACATTGAGAGGGGGGAGGCTAGAATTTCTCGGAAAGATGAGATCATGAAAGCTATAGGGAAGAAGTTGGACCGCTACAAGAATCCTTGGCTGGAGTTGAAGATACAGTATGGGCAAAATAAAGGGAAGTTATACAATGAAGAATGTGACAGATTCATGGTATATTTATTATTATTATTACTGTTATTATTATTATTATTATTTCTTTCATGTCCAGCTCCACTGATCTTCCCGGGTTTTTAACACAATTTTTTTTATTTTGCTACAAAATTTGCAGATATGCATGGTTCACAAACTTGGCTATGGGAACTGGGACGAGTTGAAGGCAGCGTTTCGAACATCACCCTTGTTTCGTTTCGATTGGTTTGTTAAGTCTCGCACAACACAGGAACTTGCAAGGAGGTGTGACACCCTCATCCGGCTGGTAGAGAAGGAAAACCAAGAATACGATGAGAGGGAGAGACAAGCTCGCAAAGAGAAGAAACTTGCCAAGGTTAGTTTCTCTGCGTTTACCCAAAATATTTTGGGTTTCTAATGGCACATTCGTATATGGAAATTTTTCTCGTACTCATGTTTGACAAACCTTTCAGAGTATGACCCCATCAAAGCGTGCCTTGGCAAGACAGACAGAGAGTCCATCTTCTTTGAAGAAGCGCAAGCAGTTAACTATGGATGATTATGCAAGCACGGTATGCATACTCGCTAAATACGTCTTGTATTCTTTTTTGATTACTTAGAAGTTGCTTGCTGCGTTTTTACTGAAGAAGATCATGCTATTGTGGCAGGGTAAGAGGAGAAAATAAATGTGACATCTGCCTTAAATTGCTTAGGGTAAGAAAGGTGTGGTTGGGTTGTAAAAGCCTTAGTGATTTTGATGTGGCTCAGTTGACATGACAATTGATGATCAGGTTCGCTTTCCAAAGTCCGTGCTACCAACCCCGTTTTGATTTGTGTAGTCCCCAAATATCAGCTTGAAAGGCTGCTTATATAATATTATGTAGAAATCGTATGTTCGAAGTTTGTAAATCTACGAACAAATCCTTTAGATTTTAACAGCTAGTTCAATGAATGTATGTAATTTTAACTTAAAACACTTTCGAAGTAGACATGCATAGGCTCTAATATTTTGAAAATCGGATTGGCCATTATTGAAATTGTAAGGGAAAAGCCTCAAGGTTTTGATGTCGAATTGACGCTTTGTACTTACGTATAAATACTTTGTTATTATATAATTATGCAAGAAAAATTATGGAGAAAAATATTGAAATATTGAGACAAGGGTGAGAAATGGATGTGAAAATAATGGTCTTCCATCCCTGCTTTTAAGTAATTAGTACTGTATTTGTTGATAAAACAAACACTATACGTTTGAAAATCAGATGCATACTTTTATAATTTGATTCATGACTAAATCAAGGTAAAATGAATGTTATTGGCTGCTGCCTTTGTTCTTGTAAAGATGTTTTATAGAATTCGATGCTGTCAAATCCAGTATGCCTTCCAACCAACAAATAATTTAATATCAGTTATTACTGACATGTATATCCTGCTTAATGCTTAATGAGATGATGAATGACCATTAGAATAAAAAATAATAAAACAAGCTTTTGAGTGACCCTAACTGCGAAGTATTTTTACTTTTTAGTGTATTTGAACTCCTGTACTGTATATAAGGTTCACAAACTTCTATTTGAAAAACGTATTCATTAAAACGTGTTTATATTGGTTTCTTCATTCAAATTATATTGGTTAGTATAGTATTCAGACCATATGATTATATATTAGATTATTTGAACTTGGCACTGCCATTTCATCCGTGAATTTGTCAAAGGATAATAAACATATAATGCTATTAATTCATTTAACTATAATATTATGTTGTTAAAGGCATGCCGAATATTTTAACAAACAGCGAAGGAAACATCGCCTTCTTCCGTAGGAACCCATTGAAGTAATGGACTCCAAAGTAATGCGTGATCATTTGTTAGGCTTATTTATCGAGGCCAACACAACGGACATAAGTGTGACAGTCCATCTAAACTATCGTAGGAAGGTGAACATGTTCAGTTGTTTCATTTCTATATAAACTATATGTTAAAAAAATCAGCATATTAGTCATTAACCATATTTAATTAATATAATGCAACTCATTTATGATTCGTCATTGCATGCGCAAGAGATAGAGAGGAGTCACGTGGAAAACAATGATATAATCAACCTTTTTTGTATAAGCCGAAAGCATAGATACTCAAGACATTGAATAGATACAGTACGAGAATAACATGTGACAGCAATGACACCCACACCCAAATCCGCTAAGATCCCCCCATTGTACAAGCATATATGAGGGGCCAAAAATTAGACGCCTTTGCTGCTATATGCAACATGAACCTAGAAATTGTTAGTAAATAGACAAGGATGTTGAATTCACATTCTGCAGCATCATTACATTTAAATACCCCAATCCATATTAACTTTCCCCAGCCCCCCAACCCCAACCTCTAATTTTTTTTTTTGTTTTTTTTCAACTGTGTACTGTTTCCTTCACATGATGACTAACTACTAGAATGATGTGGGAGAACAGTCAAAGTTGGATTCAAGACACTGGATAGACATAAAATCTAAGACATTCTCTCCTGTGACTCAATCATACATCTCTTCACTAGAAGATGAACAGCAAGTTGATTTGGTGTTGTGGTGTCTGTTCACTCATTTGTAGCATCAAAGCTCCCCATGGCATTTGCTCTTTTCTTCTCTCTCCAATTCTCACCCCATACTTTTGCTTCTGCAACTGCGCGTTCTCTGTCCAGGTCGCGGTTCCTTGGAGTCTCTCTAGCTCTTCCAGTATTTACAGGGCTGTCTCTCTGAGATTCCTGCCTTTCTAAATCATCCAATCCCCATTTTCTCCCTGACCCACCACCAGTGTCAATCCTTCCTAACTCTGTCACCCCACTTGGATCCCTACTGTCTCTCTTCCTGAAATCAGGTGAGTTTCTGTGGGTGGAAGGAGAGCCAAGCCGTCCACGGTCCGGGCTATCCACACCATCTGCCATGCTCCTTCTGTCATCCCTGCTCCTTGGAGTAGATGGACCAATCCTGTTAGACTGACTCGGTGCATTTGGATCATATGTCTGGGAAGCCAGATATGTAAGAGCAGTCACAACATCCCCAATAAGAGGCCTTGTAGCAGCTTGTTCCTGCAAACACATTGCTGCAACTGCGAGTGCTTGGTACAGTCCTCTCATTGGATAACGGCCTTGAAGTAGAGGGTCAGCCATTTTCGGAAACTTCCTACGGTCTTTAAAAAGAGGCCGTGCCTACAAAGTTCCATGCATCAAGAGTATGAAGACAAACGGTGGTAAATTTGTTTCATGTTTAATTTAGAAGCCGATGAAAATATTAACATACAAAACAATTTACATGATGCATGGCTGAAGCTAACACAAGGATGATTAGGTGAGGTACTTACCCATGCAACGAGATTATGCTCTCCATGCGCACGTGTATTATCAATGGCCTTGCGCCCGGTAATGAGTTCAAGGAAGACAACTCCAAAACTGTAGACATCTGATTTCAGAGTTAGTTGACCAGTCATAGCATATTCCGGGGCACAATAGCCATATGTTCCCATTACTCGTGTTGATACATGAGTTTTGTCACCAACCGGACCAAGTTTTGCCAGCCCAAAATCTGATAACTTGGGATGATAACCCTCATCTAGGAGGATGTTGGATGATTTTAAGTCTCTATATATCACAGGGGGATTTGCCTTGTCATGCAAATATTCCAATCCCTTTGCTGCACCAGCCGCTATTTTCATCCTAGTGTTCCAGTCCAAAGGCTCCTTGTCAGGAGGAAGATCTGGAAGAAAGAGACTCAGTAAGATATTTCTCCAGTGTATGGCTGAAACCTTATATGGGTTAATTTCTAATAATAACATAGAACTGCAAAAGCAGTGTCTACTGGTGATGCAAACCAACACTATATTAGGCTTCTAAAGAACTTATCAAAGGGTCTTTTTTTCATCATGGAAGATATTTTTTCTAAAAGAAAAATTATGGCACCCTGCCAATTCAGATGTAAATCATCATATTTGCAGTTGCAACATCAAGCAAGTAACAAGGTCAAAACTGTAATACAGGAAGAGATGATTTTATTTTATTTGCGGAAACAAAGCTCAGTTGTTAGACTGTAACTGGATAGATGAAATACCAACTCTCCTAGCTGACATCAATTCAGAATTTCAGATCTGGAATCAATCTTTACTAGAAGACAGCTCATATCTACAAAGTCATTGAAGACAAAAATATTGATAAAAGACTTATCTTAAATCGTTAGTCACAAGCTTTGCAGATCCCTAGGCACCATTAACACGATTATTTGAATTTTTGGCAGCGGTTATTGAGGACTATCATAGGAATTCAAACACACACACACAACAAAGAAAAAAAAAAGGGGTTAGCATCAATCAATGCTGTAGTAGTCTAGTCTGTTAGGATCTGTTACTATGCGGCTAGTTCAGTTAGTCAATTACTGTTCAGTTAGTGATTAGGCTTTCTATATTTTCTTTCCTATTTCTAACTCTAACAAATGCCAGTGTTACTTCAAGTCAATTTTACACATTTAAGTTCCCAGTTCCCACTATGTAGATTATGCTGATAAAAATTCAAATTATTTACTCCAAACTATTATCTTTTCCCTGTAATTGTCATTAGGAATTAGAATTCAAATGCTTGATTGCATACCAAAGTGGGCCTAAAAATTTAAAATAATGCAAATAAAAGAGTGGCAGGAAATGTAGCTGGCAATAATTTATAGTGTGCTTGACAGCAATGCCTACAAATGATGGCAACATATCTTTTTATAAAGAGGAATATGAGAGGGAGCTGCTCCTCATAACCTCTTGTTAAGGTATCTTCCACATATGTGAACAGGATGATAATTTCTAGAAGTGTTTAGACATTGTTCACTCGACATTTGCTAACAAGTTTTGCAGACTATAATGGAGGGCCACCTTGACAATGTGCTTTCAGCAAAATGTTTATGATAAAAGAATTTTTTATTAAATGCTGTAGTTCACTATTTTATTCAACCTCAAAATACCTCAAGTCAGTAGAAAAGAATACACCTTGCCAGAAACCACAGCACTGCCAAAGTATGAATCTTATAATTCTTTTAGGCAAGGGAGACAAAAAAAAAAAAATTGTATCCACGAATAGAGGGAAATGGATATATGAGCAGCTATCCACAATATTAATTTACCAGAATCATAACATCTAAATCATCTTTTAGCCTTCTCCTTAACTAGTTGGGAACTTGTTCGGGCCAAAAAAATGACACTAAATTACCATGTACAATATTCAAGGCTTATCTAGTTGATACAGAGAAAATTGATAGGATGACGAATAAAAACACAGAAAATAATCACCATCCTAAATCATCTAATGTTGCTAGCCCAGCATAAGTAAATCCTATTAGGCAAGTTCACTACTAACATCCTTGAGATCAAATTCAAGTAAAAACTCCATTAGTCCTACAGTTCTACATCAGAATTAAGACTGTGCATCTAACTACTAGAGCTAGTACACTACTAATATATCAATTCCGCATCAACAATCTGGTTATGGAAAAGAGATCCATTGATCAAACATTTTTGCTTGGCAGTGAGAAAAACCATTTGCTAAGAGTCTAAATGGTTTTCCTACATCAATAACCATCTGTGCATTAAAAGCTTTTGCTGATTAGAGACAAACAAATTATCTGTATTTAGCTGAAAGCATGCATGTCTATGCCCAAATGTGAATTAGTCCTACACACCCAATGGGTTTTGATGTGAGGACACCTAGTGGCCTTGCCCAAAAAAAGCTGAAAACATGCTAACTGTCACCCTATGCAAATCTGCACGTTCCATGAAGCTAGAAAGCTAGAGACAAAAATGAAAGTTGACACAGGTTATTCAGAAACCTATGTTTGATACCATATAGGATAACAAATTCCCAAAACCCTCAAACTCAGTTAAACCATCAGTATATAACCAGCTACAATTCTTATTGTTTTAGTCTAATAGTATAAAAGAAAAATTGTCCTATTTCTGAATCTGGTGTATGAAAAAGGCAAATCTGGTCCATGAAAATACCTTCTCCCCTTTTTCATAATAAATTAGACCAGCAAACAAGCAATATTATCCTTGCACGATATCAGCCACCTCTATTTTCCACCTAGCTAATTAACTTCCACTATATATCAGACCATTATTTTCCAAAAACACCAAATGGTTACTCCAATATATCTGGCAGTTGGGCATGCACAAGAGGATTGTAGGTTTTGAAGGCTATATTTGGAAAATAGTGAACACCAGTCATTCGGTTAAATTGCTTTTCTATCTCATAACCTAAATAAACAAAATGAAAAAAGCGGAAATCCAAAATAAATGACCAGTCAATACTCAATAGTCAAAAATCAATCCTCATTGGTCAACTTCCTAGCCCACTGATACATGATTTTCTCATGAAAGGTAATAATGAGCAAAAAGTAATAAGAGAATCATATAATATAAAATTGAGCTCTGCATGTTTAACAGGCTTCAACAATTGTCAGAACTCAGAACCTACATCATGATTTTATAAATCAAACCATTAACAATATTTCCATCTGTCATAAATCATAATTATGAAAGTATCTACAATAGTCATGCTCTCAAAAGTTAATGATACTACTTGAATCCTAGATGCCAAACTAATCTTAAAAGTTAAAATAACAATCAAGTGCCATCTATTTGAAGTTTTGAACAATGCAACATCATGTAAACAAGCTAAAATTTTTAAACAGTATAAAGTGTAAACAACTAAAAGAATAACATCTACCATCCAATAGTTCAAAGTAATCGTTGATAATATGTGAATTTTCAAGGGAAATTTCCATTATTTAATGGGAACCTATGATGGTTATTCAATGATTATATTATCTCATGGGACACACAACACACTTTGACTAGCTGAAGGAGAGGATAAATTGATTTGTAAAAAAGAGAAAATCTGATACATTCTCATTTTCTGTATGCCTCTGGAACAGTATATTTCACCCTTTTAAGTTTCAACTGCGTGTTAACAATCTTATCTTTTCACCCTACTGTCATGTCAAATGCAATTTCCCCCATTTTAATTAGAAAAGACATGGTCAAAAAGCATACTAACATAATTCTTTTGTTTGATAACAGTAAATTTAACCTTAGAATGGAAGAAACTTCCCATTCAACAAAGAATCATATACTTTCCTTCTTCACTTGTTACCTCCTAATCCTACAAGTTACAGCTTTCCTTTGACATTTAAGATATTATAAATAATGAATCAACATGAAATTTAATATTTTTTTAGTTTCATAATATGAAAGCGCGATATTTCAAGAAGAAAAGGTATCAATAAAAAAGGAATGCAATCTGACCATGTAAATGATCCTCCAAAGATCCCAACGGCATAAATTCATAAACAAGCAGTCGCTGATCACCATCAGCACAATAACCAATTAAGTTCACAAGATTGGGGTGATGTAAGAGGCTGAGCATGAGAACTTCCACCAAAAACTCTCGATTTCCTTGAAGGCCATTTCGGTCAAGCTGTTTTACAGCAACTACCTGCAAAGAAAATGATTTCATCCACATAGATTAAGAGAGAGAGAGGCAGAGTTATAGTAATAGAGCAATAATCAAATAGAAAATTGATGACAGACAGATTAATTATCCAAGCCCAAATGTAAAGTAAAAATGACCAATCCTTTTCATATGAAAGGCATTAGGCCGAGCTTCAGCAAATGGTAAATCCAAAACTTTCATATCAGCAATCACAACTTACTTGTCCTGTGCTCTCGAGGCGACCTTTGTAAACACGTCCAAAACCTCCTTCGCCTAATAAACATTCTGGCCTAAAATTCTTTGTAGCAGCTGCAAGCTCTCGGAACGTAAATGTTTGTGCAGCAATATGGGCTGTTGTGCCATCCTTTGGAATTGGTGTTTCCTTCTTAGGATCTGAGCCATTTTGTGATTTTGATTTATCTATATGAGTAATTAAAGATAAGTAGGAGTGAAAGCAATGGGAAAACATATTGGATAAATTAGAGAATAAAAATATGCAGAGAAGGTGATGCCATTATGTTGATGCTGCACATCATTATGCAGTCTCATAAGGTATAATGACAACATTATATTTTTGTATTAAATCACTCCATAACAAGGTTTTCATTGTTAAATCATATATCACATCCCATTATCAGTTAGAATGAGAATCACGTAGTTTTAATAATCCCAATTGTCTAGTAGCACAAATACAAGGCCTAGATTGTAAAGTATTCAGTATCTATCTTCTAAACAAACTAAATGCTTCAGCAGATAAGGTCATTCTACATTTTTTTTTATAGAGGTACAATCATCCTGGTTAAAATTATATAATTAACGACAATATTGAACACTTCACTAAAAAAAAGCAGCTAGATATATATAAAAAAGAAGCAGCAGCTATTGGACCCTGCATCTGCCTTGCATCCCAGAATTGCAAACAAAAAAATGGAAAACGTTGTGAAACAATGTGATATACTTGTCATATCAGGAGCCAAGGGCAGATCTCCAACGATGTTACTATGACCTCTTAATAAGAATGAAATTCAATTACTTGAAGATAAAACATATCCACCACCCATCAATTCACTTCACTAGCTGCAGCAGTGGAAGCACAACCTCAGATGAACCAGATCAAAGTAACCAGCAAATTGGATGGAAAAAGACGGTCATAAAAGTTAAGAAAACGCGCAGAACAAGGAAAATTCAACAGAATTGAAGCCAACCCAGCAATCAAAAGAGGGCAGAAGCAGTTTTAGAAAGAAAGTTCCAAAATTTGGTATCTGACCTGAGCTAACCCTGCTAGAGTGATGAGACTGAGGAACAGAATCATCTTTAAAAGAATCCTTCTTGTTCACTTCCTTCACCCCACTATTGTCCTCTTTGTTGGATGATTCAAAACAAGGAAAACACCCACCCATATCAAATCCAAGCAAATCAAAGCCACCCCTCACAAAACCCAGCAAGGAATAGCTCTCATAACAAACCCCTCACAGTAAAAAACACAGCTTTCCAACACAATCACATACCCATCACAGAAATCACCCACCAAGCTTGTACCTTTTTTTTGTCTCAGTCTCTCTCTCTCTCACTCTCTCTCTCTCTCTCTCTCTCTCTAGAACTCACTGTGGATGTGTCTAAAGATGATCTTCATCGGCCATTAAAGGGAAAGATCGAGACCAACATGCCGGAGAAGCAGATCAACCAATCGAAGAAACTGATGTAATGAAAGACAAGGTAAAAGGAAGAAAGATTAAATGAATAAAATAAAAATAAAAATATAAGAATTTCAAATTTGGAATTTTTAAGTGGAAATAAATGAATTTTAAGAGGAATTATTAGATGGGTGATCCGTAATTAAATTACGGAGCACAATTGCGTTACACAATCTCTATTACGAGGTTACCATTTTGTTTTTCCAAGTTGCTATGAAGTTTCACTTTCACCCCTTCAACTCTCAATAATTACAAACGTAGTTGTAATAATCATCATCGCGGTCGGAAAGTGGGTCCCGCATCTAGGATGTGTGATGGACATTGCTAACACATGTTATGTTACAATGAAAAATTATTGGGAAAATGGTTGATCCACCTACTGGTGCAAATTGTACAGTACTAATCAATACCAGTACATTCTACAGATTTTTTTAAATTCTATTATAATTTGAATTTTTTTTGTTAAAGACATATAAAAAGATACAAAATAATTAATTAAATCTTATTAAATATCTTAAGATTTTGATTGAAGTGATGCTTAACATGATATTAGAATTTGAGTGCAGATTTTTTTAAAAATTTTGGATTGAAATAGCATTTCACAAATTTGAATCATATATCTTGATTTTTTTTAGATAGTCCTATCGGATCCATTAATCCGATTTTATATTTGAGTCTCTTTATCCTCTGAAGAAAAATTCTAAAACTCCTTCGGATGGCCACTGAACGAATAAATTTTTGTTACATATCTTGATTTTTGGATTTTTTTTTTTTGGTAAGCGATTTTGGATTCTTTTAAAACAAATGACATATGCCATTCTTTAAGTCAAGTTACTTTTAAATAACAACATAATAGTATTTTAATTTAATGGATAGTGTTAGCCTATCACTTTTATTATCTAATTGGTTATCCTTGAATCAATTTAAAATTAATGGTTAAAAAAGAATAGTTGTCATTGATTTCGAATTATTTCAATGATAACTAAATAAATAATAAGAGTGTTAAATCTAAAATTATGGTAAATATAATATAATCACCTATAACTATTGTTATTAAAATCTCGATTTATCACTATGATTTTACGTTTTTACGAATTTTTTTCATCAAAACGATTTTATTAATATTCCAAATGCTTTTACGATTTTTTTATATTACGATTTTACGTTTTATAATTTTTTAATCCCCTTCTGATTTTACTTAAGATCTCGATTTTAACAACATTGCTTATAACTATTATCGGTTTGGTTATAAAAATATACGAGACTCATTTTTTTTTTTCTCTTTTCTCTTTACAAGATTTCACATAGGTTGAAGAAAATAAAATTTCTACATGAGAAACAATAATTACTTATAAGGCTATGTAAATGAATTTTTTTTTCTCACTAATTTACGTTTTGTTGACTGGTCCTTGAGGTTTGAAATACTACATGGTGTGCACGAAGGTGCCTACAGGGCTAATTTATGCTCACAAAAATATGAATTAAGAAATGGAACATAATTATCAACCTCTTACGATATTCGACACGATTCAAACGATATGATATAATTCATAAACTTAGCGATATGTATCATGGAGTGTATCAGAAAAAGGTTTATATCTTACGATACGATATGATATATGATACAATACAATATATGTATACGATACAAAAATTAAATCAAAATTTATAATCTTTTATATAAAAAAAAGTAAAGATTTTATTTGAGATTTAAATTTAAATTTTTTTTAAAAGGATCCTTTCTAAAAGAGGACGATGAATTAGTTATGTCACTGATAAATATTGACAGTGATAGTAGTGATAATATTAAACTTAATGATTGATGAGTATAAGAATAACTAATTTGCAGTTTACTTACTTATGTATTTTGTTTATTGAATCCTTTTTGAAATTTGGATTTATATAATATTTATTATATTATATAATTTTAAATTATTTTTTATTATATTTTTATATCATATAATTCAATATAATTTAGGATATATTATAAAAACTGACCAAATAATACAAAATGAAGTATTTTATGGGAATACTTTTTTATTCACCCCTTTTCCTTTTGTTACAATGAGTGGGTCACCTATATTGTTCTACAACTTTCTTTCTCTAACCTTTTTGCCTCCCTTGATTCTTTTGATGGTATATCTTTTTTTGTTTTATTACAATTTGTCATCCGTTTGTTGTTTACAGTTTTGTTTGCGCGTATTGCATTCTTCAATTTGCGCTACTAGTTCACACGTGAATCACGGAGTTGTTTACTAAACATGGCGGTGAATTTCACGAACACAACCACTTCCTTTTTTCAATTCTTTCGTAATAAAAAGATTATTATATATGCGAATAATTGTTCAGATTTTAAGAGAGTTTGATGTTATATATGTGAATATAATTCTTTTCTTGTCGTTTTTAAAGACACAGAATTGTGTTATTTTAGCAGTTATAATTATATATTACAATTAATATATAATTATAATATTAAAATTGTATTTTTTCTCTCTGAAGAAGTTGTCAATTGTCTGCTGAGGTAGAAAGTGAAAAAAAATACGACTTTAATATTATAATTATGTACTATCCATAGTACATAATTATACTTGCTAAAAGGACACATATTAAACCCTATATATATATATATGAGATTAATATTTCTTATGTTGTAGAAGATAACTAACTTTATCTCTTATATATACATAAAATTGTGCGAAATTGATACTTTTTTCCTCTCATATGAGTCCACACACTTTTATATGTTGTGGAAGATAAATTTATCTACTACAATATGAGAAACATTATATATATATAGGGATAGGATCTTTTGACACCGGTGTTAAATTTAAAGTTTGGTCTTTGACACTTCATCTGAGAGTTGTTATATAAAAAAAGATCAATGGTATCACATGCTTACAAATCAGAGTCGTTAATCTTTTTTGATATAACGGCTCTCAGATGAGATGTCAAACTTTAAATTTGACATCGGTGTCAAAGGATTCTATCTCATATAAATAAATAAATATATTCATATAAATATATTTATTTATTTATATGAAATAGGTTATTCTGCCTACTCTTATTTTGCCTACCTCGCTCAACATCGTTAGATTACAATCTCATCTAACTGTGGAGATTTGCAGAATAAAATAAATCATTTTTCTTTTTCTTTCTCCTTACTGCATCTAGGGGTGTTCGCGGTCTGGATTGGATCGGTTTTGGAAGTAAAACTCATCTGATCCAATCCCTTCGGTTTGATCATGTAATCATCCATTCGGTTTAGATTTTTTTTCAAATCCGATCTGATCCAATCCAATTTTTTTCGGTTTGGATTGGATCGGTTTTCGGTTTTTTGAATATCCTAAAATTAGTTTCGTGATTATTGTGCAAATAACATCTTTTGTATATATTGACTTTGTAAAAAAAAAATTGAAATACAAAAATATTAGTAAACAATACTATAGTTGATGAGAGGTGACTAAGTTTTTTTTTGGGTTTAGTTGATGAGTTAATGGGTCTTGAGTTTAAAAAATTTTGGGCTATGATTGGAGAAAAGACAAGTAGGTAGAGGATAATTAATATATTAGATCGGTTTGGTTTGGATCGATTTTCATCAACCCATCCGAAAACCGATCCAATCTAATTAAAATTTGCGGTTTTCTTTCGGTTTCCGATTTTTCGGTTTTCGGTTTATTCGGTTTTCGGTTTATTCTGTTCGGTTTTCGCGGTTTGAATCGGTTTGGATCGGTTTATGAACACCCCTAACTGCATCCCACGCTCTTTCTTTATCCTCCCCTTTCACTCTATCGATTTGTGTAATTTACAACTTGAATTTATATTTGAATCTAAATCCATGGAATGATTAATGGCATTATAGTTCTACTGGATTAGTATAATTTTCAAAATTTCTTGAATATGATAAAATATTAAAATTAAACAAGGTAGAAACCACAAAATTACAAAAAAACTAAAATCACGAATAACTCTTGCCTAGTCTTATTTTGCCTACCTCTCTTGATATCATTAGATTATAATCTAATCCGACAGTGGAGATTTGTAGTATAAAATAAATCCTTTTATCCCTTTCATTCTACTCAGTGCCTCCCACCCTTTCTCTCTCATTTTCTTTCTCTTTATCGACGAAGACAAAGTCAACTCATTGTATTGTAGAATTGTATTCAACATTTCTCTTTTAAATAATAACATATGATGATGGAACTCATTATATTTTTTATTTTCATTATTATTTTTATTTTCTTTTACTTATATTTATATATATATACATATTACTATTCTATTTATTTATTTATTTTTACTTTTTTTTTCAACCTTTTGTATCTTTTATTTGGGTTCATCTATCACCGACACCAATTAATTTGGGATAAAGATGTTGTTGATGTTGATGTTGATGATGATGAACTCATTTTGTTGTAGAATTGTAGCAATTGAATCAGCAAAACAAAAAATTCGCTTAATGAATTTGTGCCCGCAACTCAGTATATTGTAGATAAATCAATCAACATTTTTGTTTTCTTTCTCAACTATGGAGGTCTCCACCCTCATTCGCACCATTCAACAATTTAGAGGTCCGTGATCCGAAAATTTTCCTTTTTATTTGTTGAATTTTCTTCATTTTGTCGGTGATTGGAATTATGGGATGAGATGGCACCCTTTTGCTATCTCTACCTTAAACCTGGTTCAGGTATTTAGAATTACTGATTTTCGACATTAAAACGAATTATGGATAAAGGGGAGGAGAGAGAAAAAGTGTGGGAGGCAGTGAGGAGAAAAAAAAGTAAAAAAGGATTCATTTTATACTACAAATTTCCATCGTTGAATGGGATTATTATCTAATGGTGTTAAGAGGTGTAGGCAAACGTAGACAAATTAATAGTAGACAGATTAACATATCTCATATATATATATATATATATATATATATATATATATATATGTATATATATATATATATGAGGTAAGATATTCTTACTACGAATTTTTTTTACTACCACTCTAATCACCATTGGATTAAAGGAAATGTTGAATAAAAAGATAGAAAAGAAAAATAACTTTTGAATATAATAGTGATTAGAGTCGTAGTAAAAAAATTTGATAGTAAGAATATTCTACCTATATATATATA